CACTGTGGGAGAACGTCTGCAGGCCGTGTGGAGGTTGCAGGTTCTCCCTGTGAGCTGGCAGGTTTTCTCCAGGTTCTCCAATTTCCGCCCACAGACATGCTAACATCCATGATGCTCAATTAAACCTAGAACTCAAAGACGGGCGTCTACCTTCAACATAGGAAACAACATCAGATCTAAAAGTGCCAAAAAACACGATGTGAGAAAACTGAACCTCTGAGAGCATTTCAATTAAATTAAAGAAGAAAAATGGCAAATGAAAACTTTTTTAGATCGTTCAGATAAATAATACTGTACCTAGGAATAGATTCCTTTAGGTGGGATCCAATGAAAATCACTTTAAAAAAGGTTCCTCTCTGTCTCTTCCACTGACACTCCCAAACCTCTGAGACTAGTAACCCTGTGAGAACAGGGGCTGAGAAGATCCAGAAGCCAATGGCAAAGGCCCAGCAGAGAGAACATCACAAGAGGTGAAGGGGAGGTCAGGTTGTACTTCACTATTACAGTCACGTTTGGGCACAAGGCAGAGGCCTTTAAACTGCCCTGCTAATGGTTTAATGTCGGCAGTATTTGCTGGCTCAACCGCCGTCCGAACACAGCTGTAAATAGCAAGTGACATCATTGTGTCTGACACTGCTGACTCAGTGTTTCGATGTCTATACTCGGTGCTTAGAGGAGTGCTCGTGTCCCTGGCTAAGCTGAAGCCAGAAGCACAGATGTGTGAGGAACTCAAGACTTCAGCTGAATTGTCCATGTTGACGAGTCTCATTCCATCATGTTGCTACAAATGCATCACACACGTCCACAGATCCCCGAGTCAAAATCACCGTGGAACAATAATGTTTCATATGCCTAGATCTGCACAGTAAACTCAAAAGTTTCTTTCAACAAAGTTGCTTCATGCATAACCAACTAATTCTAAAAAGTCATTTCCAAGGACAATATCAGTTATAATGGAAGAAGAAAATTCTGCCACAGATGAATGATTTGTATCTGGATATATCACGAAGAGTGCTGGGATAAATAAGAGTGTAATGTAGAAATGTTGAAATGTAGCAATCTTTTCCATGTCTATTCCATTTACAGCACAGCTGGTTGACATAAAATTGTATAAAATTGCTGGCAGGAGAGCATTTTTAAGTACTTCATGCAGTACTGCAAGGACCATTTTTGGCACAGGGTCATAAAAAAAGCAAAGCCTGCAGTCAACTCACGCTGGGGTCTGAGTTGTCCTGGAGCCTGCATTTCTCAGATGATCAGCAGAGCACACTTGGTTTAATCAACTTAAAAGCTATTTTTCACTTCTTTTTTTTGTGAAAGAGAAGATAACTCTTCCTCTGATCCTATACGGCAGAAGAAGGGTTTTGCACTGCATTGTTGCAATACTGTAGAAAACCGCTGTCAGCAAACACGTCCAGAAGAAACTGCTGAGAGCTCCAATCCAGATTAGGATTATTCCCGAACTGCACAACAGTGCAGCACACTGTGGACTATCCTGTCCATTGCAGGAAGAACAAGGAAAACTTCTTACTGCGATTCGACAGCAGCATTACCAAGTTTGCAGCCACATCTCAGAAGCTCAGCAAGGCTGGACCTGGTCAGTACCGTCACGAGTTGCCTCCAAGGAAAACCAAATTGTCGGACTAAGTGGAACAATGGGTTACACTCTTCCAGCTCTAACATCCGGCAACTCACACCTGGCAGGTGAGCCTGGCCAGTACCTGGATGGGAGACCTCCTAGAAAAAACTAAGGTTGCTGCTGGAACTGGTGTGAGTGGGGCCAGTAGGGGGCGCTCATCCTGTGGTCTGTGTGGGTCCTAATGCCCCAGTAGAGCAAGGGGAAACTATATTGTAAAAAGAGTTGGGGTGTTACTCCAGTGTCCTGGCCTTTAGTAATCACGGCCTTCTAATAATCCCTCTCTCTGAACTGGCTTCATCACTCTGTTTTGAGAGCTGGTGTGCGGGGAGTGCACTGGTGCCATCACACCATCCAAGTGGGGCTGCACACTGGCGGTGATGGAGGGGATCCCTATTAATCTGCTAAATGCTTTGACTGGAGTGGAATTATGAACTTTTCCCTCCAGTGCCCCAGTATAGTGACCAGAGACACTGTACTATAGGAGATTGTACAGGCCATGATTTCTTGGCCATTAATCTTCTGGCATTTTTCAAAAGAGTATGTATGTCCTTCCTAAATCCTTACAATCTGTCCTTCCTACAGTTGCTCATTAATTCAGTTAACAAAGCAATTGCTCAGTTCTCTGCCTGAAATGCAATAATAGTGAAGCTGAAATGTGTCACCCAGGTGAAGCTGCACATTAGCGATGGACGAAATGGGTTCCCTTCTGCATGTTAAGCAATTTGAGATTCTTTGATAGATAGCACATATAAAGAGCTATACAGTTTAAATGCAAAGAATTAAAAAAAAGGAGCTTCAACAGTATCACTCCCTAAAAAGTGAGAAATGCAAGGTCTCAGAGTTATTCCTTTACCCTGCTTATACAGTATACTGTAGTCAACACAGGCCGATCATAAGCACGTATACAGTGCTGGCACCTACAGCCAGCTTTTGCATATTATAAGTTGGTTTTATAAGAAAAAAGACACACTGCATCAAGGACAAACAGATTACCAAAAGGGTGAGATGAGCCGAATGACCTTCCCTCATTCCTGTCCGCTCTCATGTTCATACAACTGGACTGAAGAGCATCACCTGATCACGTTTGTGCAATATGGCATCACTAAACTAAGAATGGGCAAACACAGGGGGAAATAAAGTGAGTCAGCAAAGGGAGGCCGGTTTTCAACAGGCATTGACTCAGTCAGAGGAAGACAGTCTGTTGGAAGTTCGTGCACCCAGTCCGATCGGTCAGTCCAGTCGGACGGTCTGGTCAGTCTGTCCAGTCGGTCAGTCCGGTCAGTCAGTCCTGGTACGGCTGGCAGCAAGCCGGAGCCCTAGTGAGGAGAGCACAGCACCACGAGGGGCAGACAGCTGCTCTGCACATGTGGAAATGTTGTGCTGCCAATTAACCAAGTCCGTTCTGGGGGGTGGGAAGAAACCAGAGCTGTAAGTACAGTTCACATTTTGTTACATGAAAGGATTCAAGAGTTTTTCTGTTCCGTTATAGTAAAAACTGTCTATCTAACAGTATCGGCACAATGTGTGAAAATGTACTGTAAGTTCCTGAAACCTATTCTTCTCATTACAAACCTTCTGCTTGAGTGATTTATTTAGTGGTCACACTTGTGCCTCAAAATACTGTACGTACAAATGTCTGTCCGGAATATAAATCCCTGACAATTAAGTCAGGGATTAAATTAAGTCATTTTCTAACAAAGTGTCAAAAAGTAAATAGACATCAGTAGTTCAGAAATATGCTGTATAGAGATCCATCTGTGTTATGATGCAAGTTGTATGAAGTCATGATGCAAACTTAAATCAACGTGTACTATCAAGGACAACAGAATGGCAAAAACTAAATCTTCAAACCTTTGCAAATCAATGACTGCTGTGCTAATGTAAAAGAACGTGTAGGATACTGGGAATTTATTGATCCAAGAAAATATGGGGCTGGCATGCCACATTTTGGAAGTGAGTAAGCACAACTCCACTATGCTTCCGGGGAATAAAAGAGAAGTGGTCGGGAGAGTTTTTCATCAGTATTTAAAATGAAACACAGTACAAGCCAGGCACCTACAGTATTCCAGATGGAAAGTCTATTTCGTTAGTGCACAGTCCTACTGTAGCTCAATTCTCATTTTGTTTTACGTATTTTTGACCTGGCAAAAGATAAATTGCTTCTCTTTTCTCTTACGAGAATGGTGAAGATATTTTGACAGGATGCAAGCAAACGCTTCCTCTCTCAGTCTGCAGAGAGTGAGAGGACTAACTGTGCTTGTTCTCCTTCTCCCATGACACCTCCAAGCGCCACAGCGTGATGTCACCTACCCCCTCTCCCCATCTTCACCAGTAGCAGGTCAGCAGGGGAGCAAAGCCAAACGCACCTCTATGCAGTACGCTTGCTCTACCAGCAAACAAACCGTTAACACGCAATGACTGCAGAACAAGGTACTGTACAGTGCTTAAAAAGAAGCAGGCAGCATGTATGTTTTATAACCCAGGATAAGAGTATCACCAAAACCAAATAAATATCAGGTTTCCTTTTTACTGCAGTACACAACAGTACAGGGAATATATTATCTAAATTCCTAGTGTTTTCTTAAAAGGTTCCCTTCATAAATCACATTATCGGGATACATTATTGCTAAATATACAATAAATTATAAGAATTACAGTTTTAACAGTATTAAAATAAAATAGCTTCAAAATGGCCTATTCCTTTATTCCTTGCAAGCCTTCTTAAAATAGTAGTGTTTTAACATTATGAATCAAATCTGTAAGATGTGACAAGCAGTCAAACTGGACTTTCAACAAAATTGGTTTAAGGTTTCATATTTCTGGTAAGACAAGTGCCTAGTAAACAACTATAATTCATAAATTGTAATCACAAAAAACACTAACAAGAAGGGCAGAAACTAACAAGGAGAAGAAACTGATTTAACTACAGTATCTCAATTAGTAGTGATTTCATGCTGCCACAGACAAGCTCTGCAGGTCCTGGGATCATTTACCAGTTCATAAGCAGCTCTGCCTCAGCTCACACTCATGCAATGTTCTGCTGAAGAGACTGAATGGCAAATTCATGCACATCTTCAGAAAGGCAGGTCAATCGCACAACAGCTCCACATTTTAAGACGCATTCCTGACAAACATATGCACATTCGTTTTTTTACAAAACAGTGCCCCATATGTCTTTGGCTGTCATGAATAATGCAAGAAGTCCCTAAATCGTTTCCTTTCATCCTGCATCCTAAGCTGCCTTGTCTCAGGGCAAGAAAAACTGAAGGTCATAGAACTGCATGGCTGGGAAAGAGAGTGCACTGCAGCAGAAAAAAAAAATTAAAAGAGCTGAGCTTAGGCAAAACAAGCTGGCACTTACCGTAAGATGCAGAAACGCTCGGACTCTGGCAGGGATAAAGGCTGCCTTCCCGTTGCAAAATTTAAAAGAAGTTCTAAGCGAGGCTCTGGAGATGAATTTAAAACTCAGGCTCGGGTCCAATTAGCAAAACAGCCAGGACAATAACCCGAACTTGTGCACCAGCAGTACTAATAGCAGCAGCAGAGGTAGCCCCTGGAGCCGTGTTTACCGGGTTATAGTTACAGTGCTTGTAACACAGCTCCTCACACTGAAGATGACTCCTACACACCAGCCGCTGAAGCAATGTGCTGTTTCCACTCACTGACTGCAGATACCGGCATAAAAAAAACAGCTTATTACACGTGAAGCAGCACCCAGCCACAAGAAGCACTACGCTTGGCATCAAGGGGGGGAGTTTAGAGGGAAACAGATGTGCTCTGTGGAGAGAGCAGGAACTGCCGGAGCAGAAGGGAGACGGAGGGAGAGGGAGAGAGGGAGACTCGCAGATAGAGAGAGGGGGATAGATAGAGTGAGCTGCAGGAGCATCAGTATTCCTCATCAGTCATCCCAGTCGACCAATCAGAGGCAGATGAGCTGTGTCAGCATCAGCACTGACCAAGGGGGTGACAGCCCAGCCCAAATGTAGCGCCTTCCACTGATTTCAAGTGCACTGCAAGAAAGTCAATAGGTGCTTCAGCTCTGAACGTCCTGCCATATCAAATACCTGCCTCTCGTACTACAGCAGTTGGGAAATCTGTTCTGCTTATATAAGACTTAACACTGAAAAGCAAAAACATAAGAATAAGAAACATTAACACTTGCATTTCTATCTGACTTTTAATATATTTCCTGCTTTCCTTGTAAATCATTATTTAAAAAAAATTAAAGTATTTTAAAAAAATTACCAATTTATTTATTTGTAACAGTATTAAATGGCATAATCAAAGTACTGTACATTGTGAGGCCTATATGAGAGGACATTCACAAATATAGGCCTGTGGACTAACAGATAGCAACATGCACCACCCCCAAGAGAGTAATAAGGGAACCTGGGTTTGTGACCTGCCTGTTCCCTGAGCCTGTACAATAACACAGCACAGTGTTTCTCTAAACACCACCTGCTGTTCAGTTAGATCATTTTGGGTGATCATAGTGAAAGCTATTATATTTTTGATAAAATATTCTGTTACAGTGGTAGGGCATGTAACAGAAACAACAACTTCTCACAGGTTTCGTGTCTGGTTTTTCATCCAAACTGCTTGTGGAAGGCACTTCATCACACCAGTGTAACTGGCTCAGGCTCTCGCTCACCTTAGAGCATTGGAGATTTTGAACATTGGACTCTTTATATACTGTACTGTAGGTACTGTACAAGAGTCTTGGGGCACACTCTCAGCTGCCTTGCTCCACAACTGCGGAATGCCGGATCCCCCTCGGACATGTTAACTCTTTCACAGTTTCTAAATCCAGACTAAAAATGTATCTGTTTAGTCAGGCTTTTAGTGTTCACCTTTCCCTCTGTTTTTAGCTCTCTATTTCTGTTCAGTTATTATTTAGATTTTTTTTGTTTGTTTTGCCCTGTAAAGTGCCCCAGGCACGGAAATAACTCCTTCTAATCCTTATTCTTATACAGTAGATACAGACATTTTACTTTCCTTTGTACTGTTTGTAATGTTAAACTGCTTCTAAACTCCAACATTTCTTGTTTGTCTTTGTTGTTTGAACAATATGTGCTGTCCTAAATTGCTTTCACTTTTGTCTTTGAGATACAGTGTTTGCCTGTGTACTGGGGCTTCAGAATGCCTTCTTTCTACCGAGCTCAATAATTACTTTTGAAAAGCCTAACATCTGTCTAAACTGGAAGTAAACTGAACCGTCAAAGCTGAAGAAAAATTGGTCCAGGTCCAGTTCATAATTCAATTAATCTAAACTTAGTATGCAAAGTTGTTAAGGCTCTGGATTAAGCCTCCTGATTGGAGGTTTGCAGGCTCAAATCCCAGGTAAAATACTGCTCTTGTACCCCTGAGTAATGCAATACACCTGAATTGTTCCAGAAAACTACCCCCTGGATGCATTACATATACATGTGTTAATGTAAGCTGTTTGTATAAAAGTATCAGCCACTGTAGGTACAAGAGTCTCACCTGAGCACACTTCTTATAAAGAGCAGATGTCATCTTCACACTCCTGCTGGTTTTCACTTCAGCTGAACCTAATTTCATGATTGAAGCTTTGACCTAACAAGTTGCTTGATTGGACTATTTGCAAGTTTTTTGTCTACTTAACAGTTTAAGATTTTAGTTCAGGTGGGGAGCTGCGTCAGCATGCGTAGGCTGCAAAGGAACAAGTAAGGGTTTATTCCACGCTGAAAAGAGAAGAAAGGAAACACAACATTTCGGCTGTGGAGCCTTCTTCGGGTGTCAGCATGGAATAACCCCATTACTTGTTCCTTTGCAGTTTAAGATTTTATTTTACTTACAGTGAGCAGTGCAATAGTTACAAGGTACTGTAACTTCCAAAATGTTTTAGAGCTGAAAAGCAGTATGTTCAGTTCACATTGATCCTGTTATGAAGCCCATTTAGAGTGTAATTCTGTAACTAAAAACTGGACTGACCACAAACCAGTGGGTGTGGGGGTGTCCAGGAACATGCTTGGGAACCCCTGATATAAGAAAAGCAAACAAAAGGAGGCCAGTTGGCCCATGGAGCCTGTTTGGTAGTTAATAGTTAACTGGTCCGAGGATGCTGCCCAGTCCTTTCTGGAAAGAAACCAGAGTATCAGCTTCAATAACCACTTGTTCCACATTCACACAACCCTTTGGGCAAAGAAATGCCTCCTGTTCTCAGTTTAAATGCACTTTACAAGTTCAAATTATTTTTTTTCTGCTGTCTTACATTGTCTTTTACATCAAATCACTGTACATTCTTTGTGACAGAAAACAGCTATAAGAAACTAAGCACTTCAGATGATCATAGGTCTCTATTAGCCCTGAGCACAGCAAAATGAAGATACTGTAGTTCGGAATATTTTTAATCACTCCAAAACCTATCACTGTCAGAAAAGATACACAATGTACTAAAATGCCTTAATAAATAACATCATGAACTGCCAAGATGCTATGAGTTCACCATTTATGGATTATTCTTTACCTAGTAAGAATCCATGGATACTGAAGCTAATAAAGCTGACAAGGTCCTTTCATTACACTGCAGCTCTTGAATCAGCCAAGAGTAAACGCAATTTACTCTGGGGCTTTTTATGGTTGATATAAATCATATACCCTGAGTTAAGTGAACATATGTCTGTATAAGCCCTTATTTAGCATTGTTTACTTCAAATTAATTACATGTCTGCCACTATCAGATACATATAACTCACCAGTTAATGTTATTTTATCAGTTCGTTTTGCATGTATACAAGTAATTTGCCTGATCCTGGTATGGGTCACAGAAACCTGGCCCCTACCCTGGAAGCACAGGACACAAGGCTGGACTGGACAGCAGCCCTGCACGGTCAAGGCACACACGCACAGGAGAAAACTGCTGACAGCAGTGAACCGCCCAGCGTGTCCCCAGCATTTAGAAAGAAACTGAAGCACCGACGCGGACATGGGGACAGTATGCAAACTCCACACAGAAGGAGCCCCAGTCCCAGTATCAAACCCAGGGCAAGATGTTGCTACTTCCTCACAGGACACAAGAGCTGTGAGGCAACAGTATCCACCATGCCATCACGCCCATGATCTGACATCATAACTGATTAATTACAACCGCATGTCTACAGATGTCTGCAGTGGAAACTGTGCAAAAACTCTGACGGTTGGTGCCAGACCAGAGTGCGTGTGTTTGTACTCTAGCATCCTTTAATGAATATCCAAATCATTAAGCAGCTAACAGTCATTAAAAACATGTTGATCCACGGGATAACAGGTTTAAAGAAAGTATTTTATTCCTTTTCAGTTTTTTAAATGTAATGAAACAGAATGACAGTTCTTTACAAAAAGAGTTGTATAATTAGGAAAAAGGATTACAATGAAACATCTCAGACAAACAAGTCAGAAGTTCAATAAACAATTTATTATGAGATAAAATTTCTTTATACTGAATGGAGAGAATACTGTGCAGAACGTTAAAGGTCATGACATCAGTCTTACAAGGATATTTTTCAGGTATTCATATTTTGCTTGCTTTAATTGTCATTCTATTTCTTATTTTTAAATCTTATTTTGAGCCACGTTTTTGAATTATCTACAGTATTTTAAGAATTTAACGAACAAACTATTATGTGTTGTTCACGGTGATATCCTGCTTTCTTTCAGGAAACAACTGGACAAGATCAATTAACTACAACAACCAAATGAGCTCTATGGGCTGAATGATCTTCTCTACTTTGTAAATGTTCTTTTGTGGCATGAAATCAAGACCTGATATAAAAGTAGTAAGTACTGTAGTCAAAATAAAGTTTACCAGAATACCCACTGAAAAACCCATTTGAGGTGAAACAGACAAGGTGCATGTGTATCTGTTGTGCTTTTTCAGTGCATGTATTTGGAGAGGGGCAGTGAGGACATTTTAGGAGCAACAAAGATGTCAAGAATGAGGTGTTATTGAGATAAGGAACAAGTAATAGGTTTATTCCAGGCTGAAAAGAGAAGAAAGGAAACAACGCTTCAGCTGTGGAGCCTCCTTTGGGTGTCTATTGAGATAATATAATTTCCTTCATTTTCTAACTACTTCATCGAATTCAGGTTCAAGGCAGAGAGTACTGAAAGTTTAACTGGATATGAAACAGCATGAGAGGAATATGCATTATGTGCTTATATCACAGTGCAGTCATAAAATAAGCTATCGCACAGTCTCTAAAGATCCTTTCAATACTGTTTTCTCTCAACAAGAGGGCAATCAAACCCCTCTTTCTTTTTTATGGGCCATTTCCAGATAGCCCACACAGTATTATTCCCTATAGCCCTATAGACATGTGCCATTGATTGCAGTCCATGGCAGTGAAGCCATGGGAGCGAGCTGCAGCTTTTTAAAGACTACCAGGAGGTGCTGAGTAGGAAGGGCCGCAGAAAAGTACCTCGCCGGCTGACAAGACACTCCAGT